TGCAAAAAGTCACCCTGTTCTCGATGTTACACCCAGTGCTGTTCAGTACGAACCAGTTGCCAGCTGACTGGCATTTGGTGTCCCAAGGGAAATACATTTGGTGAGGACAGCTCTCCAAGGACCATTGCCTGCGCAGCGGCCACCACTGCCATCCTCCCTGGCACCACCTCTCTGCATCAYGTTGGTGGTCCATGAAGAGAAATGAAGAGCGGCCTGGGCAGGAGGGTTCGGGAATGGAGAAGAATCCACCCTGCCCTGAGTGTTGCTTATCTGCTGGGACCATCCACTACAGGCCAACACTGGTAGCAGCTCTGGCAGCCACTGGGAAAATAGCAGTGCTGGGAAAGAGCCTGAGATCTACGAAGAAATGTCTGTAGGGTAACAGTAGCTGAGAGAAACCATGTATGTCATGGCACTTGAGGCATGTGACAAGTTTGGCCAGGCAGCCTGACTGAATACTGCAAAATAAACAAATAACTAAATAGACCTGTAGAACTTCAATATCCGCAGTCAGGCGTGTGGAAATGCCTAAGTTGGTGGAGGCTGCAAGGCCTGTAGACTTGCTGATGCTGTCCTGAGAGCCCCAAAGCCCTGCCTTCCCCACACACCTGGCTTCCGTGATCAGTCTGGCTTTATGTGCTCTGCACAGTGGCACCCAGGGACAGAGGGGCCCAGCTTGTGTGGGGCAGAGTTGGCGGGAGCAGCGAGGCAGTGACGAGCTCCCTTGCAGCCAGCCTGGAGCTGCGCTGTGTTCYGGCTGCTCAGCCCTGCCTCATGCAGGTCAGGAGACGCCGCTCGCTCACTCGGGAAGATGTTCCCTGGGAGCCTGATTAGATCTGCTCCTCCCAGGGCCCTATGGCTGGGCTCGCTCCCTTTTCTCGTTCCACACAGGACTTTAAAAGGCTGTGTTTGTAAACACCAGTCTCCAGCCCGCTGCCTCCGGGGCTCTGGGCGGAAGGCCAGGGAGGGATCGAGGAGGCAGCAGACAGTTTTAAGAGGCCGTGGCGTCCGATGGCYGCCTTGGAGAGGCCGCCTCGCAGTTAACAGCCTGGTGGCGGAGTCACCTTCAGCACCGGCAGGTCTCAGCACTGCTTCCTGGCTCCCCAGGCTTCGCTAAAATGACCTCTCCACGGGCCAACGTWAATTCTGGGTCTCTCAAGCTAGCTSGGTTGGGAATTAGTGGGGAGCTAAACTGTGCTGCCTCAAACGTATGTCTGAGGTCAGTGCGCCGAGAGAATAAACAACAGAGTGGACATGTGTTTGTATTTGGCACAGTGCTGGTTAAATATTCGCTCTCGTCCATCTCTTCTTCCCACAGATTGCCTCAGAGAGCCCGGCCATGCCCATGGACTTGGGCACTCTTGTCCTGGTGGGGAGACAAGGGCCTGTGGTGGGATAGCATCATGTCGCTGAACTCAAGCCAGTGAGACCAGCCATCTGAGGTGGCTTTGGAAGAGAGTCTGCCCAGACCTCCAATTTGAGGAGCCTTCCAGGCTCCTTTTTGAAAACTGGTTAATAAATATCACAGATTGGAGCAGTGACAGAGCCTGACCGCTGCAGGAAGGTTGGTGCTGGGTGGTAGTCAGGGCTGGCCCACCTCTTCCCACTAACTGAAGTGTCACCCTACAGCGTTCTGTGGGCGAGAAGGGAGAGATCTTCACTGAAACACAAGCCTGAACCTGTCCGTATGTCTGGAACTGCTTCTATCCACATACTTTCCGTAGACACGTGCAGGCACACATTTAGTTGTAAAGCTCCTGGGAAGGAGAGGGCCTGATGCGCTTCACAGAGTCTTGGTAGGGAAGGATGCTTTGCCATACAGGTGCCACCTTCACGCTCCGCATCCTGAAGGCCCAGAGCAGCGAGGGCTTTTGTGTCCCTCGGGAGTAGCCCGGCAGACCCAGGGTTCCCACAGTCCCACACCTTGCGTGGCAGCCTGCACACGGGTCACACGTGACAGCCCAGCACGAAGCCCTTCACAGAGTGCCTGGCAGGGGGGAGCCAGGCCAAGCTGGTGGGGCTGAGAGGGGAAAAATCGCGTCTCCTTTAAAAGAGGCAGCAGGCAGGTCTGTAAGGGAAGGGAGCACTCGGAGCTGTGTTTTTCCCTCAGCGCCTCAGGGGCTGGTTACTAAATTTGGTTACTGGGCTTAAATAATGCAGCGTGGCAGAGCCCAGTGGGTTTGAACATTGTCATATCCACACAATCCTCTCCTAGGTGGCTGAGATCTCTTGTTCTCTGCTGCTGCTATCTGCACMGGAGTTTGAATGTGATGTGAAACATCATCTTAAATAATTATAACTAGCAGAGAAGAGCCAAAGCTGCAAAGTCTCATCTATTCCAATGTGCTCTGTCTATCTATGGAATTTCTAAGGTGCCAATCACCAAAGCATCCAAGCACTGTCTAATCTGGATCTGAGCTCCTTTGGTGTTCATGGAGGCTTGAATCTAGTGCTTCATGAGAGCACATCTCTAATTAGCAAGCATATAACAGAGCTTATAACAGAGCAGCGTAACGTGGGCRAATAAAGTTTACTGCCATCAAGGTCTTTATGATCTATTGGCTACAATTCCAGGAGCTGAAGAAGTTGCATCATAGTCAGTCCTGGTCCATGAAGTATTAGAGTCTCTTTCCATTACCCTCAGGAAAGGCAGTGGCAGAGCTACTGAGTGCAGGAAGCCACTCACTGGAGTGCTGGACCTCTCCCTTCTACCATGTAGACCCTGCAGCTCTGTGTAGCTTGTGCCTCCCAATCTGCATCCCGCCCCGGGGCTAGGAGTGAGGGGGCTCTCTGCCATCCGTGGTTGTGGATCCAAGCTTCCTTGTGCAGCGACAAGAAAGAAGCAAGTGATAGGAACCAGTGACCCAACAGATGTTGGGCCCAGCTCTCCTCCTGGCTTAGCCACTGCCCCATACTTCCTGCAGGCTTTGGGAGGCAGATTGAAACCTGCTGGATTACCACTCACTGCTTGAGCAATGGTGAAGGGACTTGCTGTACTAAAGCTACTCATCTGGAGTGAAATGAGATTAGACCTTTCCTTCATTGCCAGGGAAACAGCATTTGTCTCTTTCAAACAAGAACCTGCCAGGTTCAGACAGTGCCACAGTGTTGCTATTACTTCCCCTCCATCAAGCTGCACTTAGGAGACTGCCCACAGTCTTCCTGATTTGACATGACACTTGACAGCAGGTTTTCATGGCAGAGAGTACTCAGTAGTTACTAAGAGAGAGCCTTTCCAAACCCTGCTTATAAGCAGCACGTTTCTGTTCCTGCAAGTGGGCAGGTCCTTGTCCTGATCCTGCACTGATCAGCCCTAACCACCCATCCCCGCAACTGCTGGAATATTTTCAGTGACATTGAATAAATACATGTTAAATCTTTCTCCATTAAGTGACATGTCAGAAATTAAAGTGGCATCAGCTGTAAAGCCTGCAGCTAAGCCAGCTTCTCCTAGGGCATTTGCACATGGTTGCCCAAGAGGCTAGGAACAATAGCACCAATAATGCTTTTCCTTCCTGCCTTCCTGCCATCCATCCATCCATCCATCCATCCATCCATCCATCCATCCATCCATCCATCCATCTTCTCTGCACACCCTTTCTGCTCCTCTTCCCCCATTAATACCACTGCCACCTTCTCCTCCTATCCCCAAACTTTCACAGCTTTATGTATGGAAAAAAAAAAAATCTGGATCACAGATCTCAATCCCTTCTGATGACTGCCATCATGTTACACAACCATTAAAAATTTCTCAAGCCCTCATTAAAAGCAGTTAGATTTTTTTTTTTTTTTGACCCCTGCTATGTTCACTGGAAAGCAATTCCAAAATTCCTCTAGTAGGTAGGACTTAGCAGGTAGAAACTTATCCATATTCATAACTAGACCTTCCATCCATGACCACAACTGTCTTCATCTTCTTCCAGTCTTGGAAACTGCCTCCTCAGCTAACTTTATCTCTGACCCTAGGTCACTCCCACTCTTTCAGTCATGAACTTCCAAGTTCCGTCCTCTCAGACATCCTGCCTCTCACCCACTTCTTGTCTCACTTCACTTTTCCCCTACCACATGCTCCCCACCCACCATATTCCCTTCTCCTGACTTCCCCCCATCCCTCTCCTTCCCTATCTTCCTCTTCAGGCCACCCCAGCTCTTCAGTTTCTTCCTCAGGCACAGATGGACATCTACACAATTCCTGATGGTTCAGAGAAACATTTATTTCTTCTTGAATTGCCCAGGGCAGGAGCTTGCTCTCCTTTCATGCTGCTCCTTCGTGTACCTGTTTGGTTGGGTCAGGATGGCATCCGGGACTCAAATAAAAGTCTGTACCCTGCTCACAACCTGTGCAGCTTAGAATTGATTCAGAAACTGTGTGACAAAGGAGCACATGGATAAYTGATGAGGTGAAGCTTGAGGCAGAAGATGCTGAAATACTGCAGCTATTAGGCAAGACAAAATATTTATAGTTGTGACCTGCAGGGTGAGTGATTGTGCAGGGTAGGGAAAAAGCTGCCATTAAGGAAGAGGGAAATTGCAAAACAAACATCCCCTTGGATATTTAGTATCACACCCAAAACATTAACATTGATTATATCTCTATTAAGAGGCAAGATACAGAGCTGCTTTAATTAACAAGGTGGGTTCTCCATCCTCAATTGCCTCTTCACAAGTATCAGGTGAGGCATCAGGGCTGGGATTCCCAGTGGCATAAAGCTGGGTTCTTCTGGTTAGTAGACTAATCCTGAGGCTCTGCTCTTCAAAGTTTTTTAGGATTCAGACAGCTGACATTATTCGGACAAGTACATCTTTTAGAGCTCTGAGTCCTAGGAGCTAAAAGGATAGCTAGGAATCTCCAGATTGCCTGGTTCAAGACTAGTTTGTGTCACTCCTAATGGATAAATGTTACTGTTAGATGGCTGCAGGATGTCAAATCTTTCTCTAGGGCTATGTCATTCTATGGCTGCCTGATGCAGCTTTTTTGAAGGTTTTTTTTTTATTATTTATTTTATTTTTTTGCTATTTGCTTCTGAAGGAGTGGGTGTTAACTAATCTTAGACTCCAGATAATGGCTTTGACAGACCTGCATGGAGCTCAGATTGTTGTATAGCTATTAATTCATTTAGACGTGCCAGCCTGCTGTTTGATGGGTAAGTGTTTTGTTTCACTTGGGGGCAATGGGACACAGGGAGAGCTGGTGCCTTTCCCAGACTTGCACAATAGCGGGCTCAGAATTAGGCCCTGTGCAATTCCAATTGCTCTGAGTTGCAGGCATTAAGTGCTGGGCTGCCCACTTTTTATTGTAGCAATGGAATGAGGCGTGGGGAGGAAATTGGCTGTCCTGGTTTGGATATGATGAAGGTGCTGTCAGATTTTAGCATTCAGTGGCCTTTTTAAAACAGTGCTCCAAGTGACAACTTTCCCAATGCTTGGCAATAGGTAAAGGTTGTGCACAGGTAAGGAATGCTGTCTCATTAGGCAGGAAAACTAGAGTGAGGGAAGCAAGAAGAGGTTGCAGTCAACTAATCCTTTTCCACTAACCTCCTGACTAATTACCTCCCTGGATTATTCTATTGAACTCAGGCCTTTCCTCCAGCCCAAAAGTTTCTCACTGGGGCGGAAGATAATTCAATAATGGAATAGGTTCCTTCTCCAGACTTGCAAACAGGCTTTTATGAAGGACAGGATCCCTCCCACCTTTCCAGTTCAGTACCTTTAATCTCTCTGGAGTCAAACCAAGCTTCTCTGCTCTAGAAAAGCGAGTGACCGTTTGATGAATGTTTTCAGAGAAAAGAAAATACAGCTGTAGTACTTAGGTTCTTCCTATCAGCCCAGACCAAATGCRTTCTGCCATCAACCTGGCAAGCCAGCCTGTAGTGGGGAGCTGGGCTGCATTTCTGCTGCCTTGTACAACTCTTAAAAACAGGGGACACTCTGACTGGGGACTGCTGAAGTAGGATGTGCCAGACCGTATCCCAGCTACCTGGAGGCAATGAAAGGCCTAAAATGCTGTCCCRTCTTTACTGTGTTGCTGTACTTCTCCCAGCCATCAGATTGTGGGATCAGAAATGTCCAGCCAGTCCCATGTTCCATAGTGATACAGACATGGGAGAAATCAGCACCAACAGGCCTGCTCTTACACCATGAGGGCAAACACCTAAAGAAACTGGAGCTTTTTCTCAGAAAAGGAAGATTCCTGAAACTCTGGCAGTGACCAGCTGAGACCGAAACTCGAGTAAGATTTACTTAGAAAGGGTGTGTGGGACTGTGAGCATGAGTTATTGTAGAAAAGAGTAAGGCTGCTCAGGAAAAACATTGTGGCGGAAGATTTTTACTTGGCGGAGGACTTAGAGGAATGAGAACTGTCATGAGCAGAGATGCCTAAAGCCTTTTCATTATATGGCAAAAGCACCTAGTGTGTTTGCTCCCCAGGGAAGTGCTCAGAGATAGGTGTCAGTCTGGCTGGCCCCAGTTCATCTGAATGTGCCCACATGGGCCAGTGGCTTTATTTTTGTGTTGGGTGTTTTTTTTCTTCCCACTCACTTGTGCTTTCCTCTCCAATACCTGTGGCTGCCTTTGATGATATCTTTTTTCCCCTCTTTTGGCCTCTCTGATGGGCAGGCTTTGTGGTTTGACACCTTTTCTTGCTCCTTTTTTTATGCCTTTGATGGTACAAGAAGGCTCCTTGTTTCTGTATGATTTTGCTTTTGCTATGGCTGTATATGATGAGCTAGGCAAATAATGTGCTAGTCCTTTTGCAATCTATTTAGCAGTAAATTCCATGTCTTGCAAGTAATGTTCAGCAAGCAAATACAAGACTTTGATTAAAAAAAAATACTTCTCAATGCCATAAAGACAAAGACATTTGGCATTTCCTTCATGATAAAACTATCAGCCCTATTTATTTTGTACTCAATTCCTAGGTGACACGTTTTTATCTGACAATTTCCAAAACCCTTGCCAATGCTATTAAATAAATCTCGCATTGCTGCTGTGCAAGAGGCATTTGCCTGCATTCTGCGTCTTAAGTCAAGGTATTTAAAAGAAAATTGACTTTTGCCTAGACACAGAATAAAACAGCCTCAAGAAACAGAACAAGAACTTCAGAGTCCTGACTTACTACCTTCATTGTCTTAATTAAYGGCATGTTCTCCACCTCTGGTTAGTCAGCATTCTGATTTTTTTCCACTGGATCATCATCATAAAAAAAGATCCAGTTGTCATTTTAACCATATAATTAAAATGCCTGTCTGTAGAATGACTTCCATCAGAATGCTCCAACCAGTTCTTACAATGGTGGATAAGATGCTGCTGYATTAAAAATAACTTGATTCAGAAAATTAAAAAATGTGACTGAAGACTTGGCAAATGAAAGCTCACCAAATAACCCAGATTTTTGATTCTTATCGTCTTGTTCTGAATCCTAGACCACAGCATTTTCTCAGCTTTTCTTCCTGTAGTTTCCTAAGGTTTTTTTGAAGGAGGCGACTCTCTCTAGGTAATCTAGATACCTGCTGGTTGCTCTGTACGAAACCGCGGAAATGTCAGAGTCTGCAACTGGAGTGAGTTTTTTATAGTRCAGGTTGGTGAGCTGTGGCTGTGTGCTGGAGTTTGGACAACATGGATTCAACTGACTTCACTCTAGCAGCTGGTGCTGTCAAAACAGATACCACCCTCTTCAATAGTGAGATGAAGCAGTTGCAAGTGGCAAAGTACAACTCAAACAACTCYGTACTGAGCTGTAGATCTGGGAAGTCCTAGAAGAAGCCCTTCCTGCCACAGGTGGCCTAAAGAAACTGGCTTTAGCACTGCTGCTTTTCCAGTAAGCCAGCAGGATTTGGTGGGTGGAGGAAGGGGAAGGAACTCRGCTAGCCGTGACAAAGGGGAAATCTTGGCACGAGCTTAGATGCAGTCTTGCGACTGGCCTTGATGTCCCAACTTCTACAAGATGGGGTCGCACCCAAGTGAGGGAAGCTGACAAAGATGTGTGGGAGGGAGATGGGAAACCACGAACTCTGGCTCTGTAGAGGTCCTGAAGTCTTGGAAGAAGAGGGCTGACACTGTGCTGCTCTCAACAAGATCTATGCCACYGTGTGACTGCGGTGATAGGTCCCAAGACACTCCTCTCCATCAAGTGATAGAGTGATAGGGACTGAGGGTGTGGGGTTTTTTTTATAGAAAAAAGGGGCTGTGTGAGTGAGCTTCTGATGTGCTTGCTTGCTTGTTTTCTTGGTGGGAACAGCTCCTGCCAGTGATGGCTGGGGACCCGGGTGGCTGCACGGGGACCAGGGGGAGCTGCCGCTGCCCCCGGGTCTAGGGCAGAGAGCCGCGCTGCTCGCAGCCGCCTGTGGCTGCCGAGCCGGCCGCTCCCAGCGGCGGTGCCGGCGCGGCCGCCGGCACGGGCAGCCCTGGCGGGGAAGGCGGCGGCCGTTGGAGCCGTTGGCGCGCGGCCGTTGGAGCCGTTGGCGCGCGGCCGTTGTTGGTGCGCGCGCCGCGGCTGCCCCCTGGCGGCCGCGGGCGGGAGGCGCCGCGGCGCGGAGCGCTGCTCGGTCAGGGGCAGGCGGGACCCGGCGCTGCCCGGGCTGCGGCTACCGGCGGCAAGGCGGGCCTGGGCCAGGGGAAGATGTCTCCCTGCCTGAGCTAGCAGCTGAGCGAGGCTTCGCCTCCCTCGCCCGTTCTCAGGGAGCTGCACTCCCCCTGCTCACCCCTGGGTCTCCAGTGCCTTCCTTGCGGCTCGGYGGGGAAAGGGTTTGCTGAGCCCCGGCTGTCCCATCTGCAGATGCCTTYGGCTGGAGTGCCTTGCTTGCCGGCACACGTGTACGAGTGTCCGTGGAGCAGCTCCTGCAGCGCTCTCAGAGTAGGTCATTTCCTCTGACTCAGTCGTATCAGTCACCAAGTTGATGTGCTCTAGTCTCGGGCTCAASTCTTCAGCTGTGAGCATGTGCTCTCCCTCTCGCGTGTGCGCTWTGGGCAGATATGGGTGGGCAGATCTGGAGATAAGCCTTGGACCTTTGCTTGGGGCCTCTTAACACCCTCTTAGCGCCCAGCAGGCACTAAGTACAGTCTGTGTGGGGGCTGTTCACAGCCTTCTCAACTGCTGTAACATATTCCCTGCTGACTTAAAGGTATTGACGTGACTCACATTGGCACCAGGCAAAGCAGCTTTGTGGTCCCTCTTGAGCAGCCTTTCCGAGCTCTGCCTGCCTTGGTAGCTGGGAATGTCTGTTGCACAGAGCTGCAGTCTTCCCTAAGTGTCCCAGCACCACACGCCACATGGAATCAGGTCTCAAGGCTCCTGGGTTTTAGCTCCCTGCTGCCTCAGCTGCTTATGGTTACAGTGGAAACATAGCTTAATCCAGTGATCGTCCAGCCTGTTCAATGGCCATCCCACACACCCAGAAAAGACAAGATGTGTTCAGTACTTGGCTTTGTATGGCCATGTACTCATATGGGTTTTCTCCTTCCTTTACAGCAAAGATTTTGACTTTCTAGTTCTGGGCTTTTCCTTTAAAAAGGCAAGACAAGCTACTGCCCAAATTTCACCTCTAAAGAAAGATTATTGCATGGCATTATGGTGCTGTCTCTCCATAGATGAGAAATGGTCTGAAGGTGAAACCTGGAGATAAATTCTCTGTGCTTTCACTTTAACTTACTTAAGGTAAATTGAAAGGAAGCCAGTCATTCCTGCCCGGGGAGCTTAGTGTCCTCTGCATTTTAGAACCCACTCAAGATCCTAAATGTGCTAATCAGCCTGAGCTTGCATGGTCCACCCATCRTGCCAGTGTGTCCCATTTGCCTTTGCAAAATTACATTTGCAAAATTACATTATGTCACCAAGGGGAAATCCTGCTTGACTAACCTGATCACCTTCTACGAAGGAATATC